CGGAGCAGCGCCCGGCGCCGGCCGCGGTGTCACCAGGCCAGCGGCGGGGGCTGCTCCCCCGGCCTCCCTCCCTCCGTTTTGCCCTTCCTCCTCCGGGGATGCCGGCGGCGTCTTAACCGCTTCCGCCCCGCGCGCGGGTGAGCGGCTCCCTGCGGTGCCGCTTGGCCTGCGGAGCCTCCGGGGGAGCGCGGAGGTCTGGGGGCACCGAGCTGGGCTGCTCGTGGTGGTGCTGGACGCTTTTCTCTGCCCAGCCCGGTGCCAGCCCTGGGCGCTCCGATGCCAGCTCCGCCAGCTGTGCCCGTGGAGGGCTGTGCACGTGGTGCACACGCGTGTGCTGGCACACACGTGTGCATGACGCGCTGCGCTCTCCCCGCAGGTCTGCTGCTGCAGGAACACGGGCTGGACGCTGTCTCCTTGCTCTGCCTCACGTCCTTGCCCAGCTTCTGCATCCTGTTCAGTGCAGCCGTGGCGCTGGAGGTGGGCCCGGCCTGGGCGGGCGTCCTGCGCTACGACAGCACCCTCTGGGCCTACGTGCTGCTCAGCTGCCTCGGTTCCGTCCTCTACAACCTGGCCAGCTTCTGCGTCCTCTCGCTCACGTCAGCACTCACCATCCACGTGCTGGGCAACTTCAACGTCGTGGGCAACCTGCTGCTGTCCCGGCTGCTCTTTGGCAGCCAGCTGAGCGGCCTCAGCTACGTGGGCATCGGGCTCACGCTGGCCGGGATGTTCATGTACCACCAGCCGGACTACATCGCTGCCCGCTGGGCGTCGTGGCACGGCCGGGACCGGGACAAACGGGAATAGGTCCCGTGCACGGCGTGGAGAGCTGCCGTCGGGGCTGCTGCGGGAAGCCAGAGGGCTCCTTGCACCCTGTTGCGTGCGCAGGAGGGCTTCTGCGTGTGCCCGCTCTGCGTGTGGCTCGGCACGCGTGTGAGCGTGGGTGCAGGCTCCATGCGAGTGGGTGTCTGAGCGTGGCCAGTGCTGTGGGGCCGTGTGCGTGCGCTGGCGTGTGCAGGCTCTGCGTGTGCGAGCGCGTGCCCGCGGGCACAGCTCTGCGTGCGGGAGCAGGACGTGTTTGCGTGTGTGCCCAGGCTCTGCGTGTGCGAGCGGGCTCTGTGCGTGCGCATGGTGCAGCGTGCGGGTGTGCACTGTGAGCGTGCACGGGCTGTGTGTGTGTGTACGGTGTGTGCACAGCCCTGCGTGCGGGTGTGCGTTGTGAGCATGCACGGGCTGTGTGTGTGCATGTGCACAACATGTCAGAGCCCTGCATGTGGGTGTGCGCTGTGAGTGTGCACAGACTGTGCGTGTGTGTGTGTGTGCATGGTGTGCGCACAGCCCTGCGTGCGGGTGTGCGCTGTGAGCGTGCACGGGCTGTGTGTGTGCATGTGCACAACATGTCAGAGCCCTGCATGTGGGTGTGCGCTGTGAGTGTGCACAGACTGTGCGTGTGTGTGTGTGTGCACGGGGGGTGTGTGTGTGTGTGCATGGTATACGCACACAGCCCTGTGTGTGGGTGTGCGCTGTGAGCGTGCGCCGGCTGTGTGTGTGTGTGTGTGCACGGGGGGTGTGTGTGTGTGTGTGCCTGGTACGCACACAGCCCTGTGTGTGGGTGTGCGCTGTGAGCGTGCGCCGGCTGTGTGTGTGTGTGTGCACAGTGTGTGCAGAGCTGGTGTGCAGATGTGCGCACTGTGAGCATGTACAGGCTGTGTGTGTGTGTGTGTGTGTGCGCAGTGTGTGCAGAGCCCTGCGTGCGGGTGTGCGCTGTGAGTGTGTGCAGACTGTGTGTGTGTGTGCGCAGAGCCTGTGTGCGGCTGTGCGCTATGAGCGTGTGCAGACTGTGTGTGTGTGCACACTGAGTGCAGAGCGCGAGGTGCCCTGCGTGCAGGTGTGCGCTGTGAGCGTGCGCAGGCCGTGTGTGTGTGTGTGTGCGTGCACAGTGTGTGCGGAGCCCGCAGTGCCTGCGGGCTCTGCTGTGTGAGCGGGTGTCCAGCACTGGTGCTGTGTGGCCAAATGGGTCTGTGTGTGCACAGGCTCTGAGTGTGCGTGTGGTGTCACTGCCCACTGCAGCTGTGTTTGTGTGTGCAGGCAGGTGCACACACATGTGGCTCCGTGTGTCCAGTTGCTGTCACAGCACAGAGCAGCAGGTGTCCACGGACGTTGCGAGTGTGTGAGCTTGAGGGTGTGCGGGCACGTGCTTCACTGCCAAGCTCTGCTGGACGGGGTGGATCTGGAGCGCGCGCGCATGGCTACACGTCCGTGTTTCGATGCTCTCCCCCGAGGGACGGAGCGTGACCAGCCTGCGGTGCAGGTCAGCGGCCTCCTGACGGTGACGGCCAGCAGCCTCCTCTCGTGCTCGGGGAGCATTCCCAGATCCTGCCTGACTCCTCTGTGCCGTCCTGACCCCGGACATCCCCACACTGACCCCACGGCACCCCAGCTCCAGATGGAGCCCTCTGGCTGCCCCGGCTCCGGCCTTGTGGCTGCCTCCCGTCGGGACCAGGACGGGCTCTGCGGCGCTGCTCCTCCCCGGCCATCCCAGCGGCTGCGGCTGGGCAGGCGCGAGCGGAGGTGCCGGCGCAGCCGCCCGCACGCGGGGCTCACCCTGGAGGCTGCGAGGACCCCGCAGAGCCACGGGGATGTCTCGGACTGTCCTGCCACCGCGCGCAGGAGCTTCCCCCTCCATGCACGGGTACCTACACATGCCCCGTCCAGACGGGTGCAGGATCCCAAGCGCTCCCCGTGCTCCCGCGGCCCTGCTGGGCGCACATGGTGCCAGCGGGCATGCGCGGGGCTGGAGGAAGCGCTGCCTGGACAGCTCCAATCACACTTGTCCTGAAATAAAACTCTATTTTTGTTGTACTCCCCCCAGGCTCCTGGCGTGATCTCCCGCCTGTCTCCATCCTGCAGGTGCTGGGTGTCGCAGGGGCCGGAGCGGCGCCGTGCAGGCAGGGGAGGCGGGAG